GCTAACCACTGCGCCACCGTGCTGCCCCTTGCTCCCTATACATATGAAGTGGAATTAGGCTACCCTTTAAAAATAATTTGATTTTTGAATGTAGCCTTTGAAACAGTATTTTCACGTATTTGGTATTTAAGTAAAGCATACTTTCTATCAGTATTAGAGTCTAATTAGGAAATAAAAATTCCTTATTTAGGAGGCTTCACTTAGACGTTGTTCATTGTCAGATCCACTAGGTGGCAATATGAGATTGTACCAACAGCATCTTGAGTTTTCTACACACAGAGGGATCACAGCTACCTGTTGGACTTGACTTTATAGTTGCTTAATAATGAAATCATTATTATCATCATCTTGAGTTACTCCTGGAAATGACAATAACATAGGCTAACATCTTTCAGTTGATCAATGGAGACCACTGCTGAAGACACAGCACAGACATGTAAAAGGCTCCCACCCCTCCTACAGTGGAGCCCCAGGCTGAGAGAGAGACACAAATAACATAGCTGAGGCCAGTCTTTCTCTATTTGCAGTCATTTTGTATGTTTTTATAATTGCTTGACATGTCTTTGTAGTATCATTGTATCTCTTTGTGCTTGTTTTGAGTCTTTGTGGCCCTTTTGCCTCTCTGGTACAGCAGTTCTGTGCCTTTTTGTAGTCATTTTGTGTGTCTTTACAGTATTCTATAACTTTTGTGGTTGTTTTATATGTATTTGTACTTCATTTGAGCCTCTTTGTAGTTCTTTTGTGTCTTTGTGTTCATTTTGCATCTCTATCAGGTTACTCTGTGCCTTTTTGTAGTCATTTTATTTATCTTTGCAGTGTTTTTGTGACTGTGTGGTTGTCATGTGCCTTTTTGTGGCCATTCTACATCTACAGCATTTGCACTTTGCATGTTTCTGTAGATTTTCTGTTCCTCTTTGTAGTAGTTTTGATCTTTGTGGTCCTTTTGCATCTTTTTGCAATCACTCTGCATCTATTGTCTTTTTGTGTCTTATTCAAATAATTTGATTGACCTTTCATCAAAAAACAGTCACTTGATCAGAGGCTCTGCCCCAAGGGCCCCTCTAAAGCCTTTTGTCTCCTGGGCCTGTTCAGCTTGTCCATCTGTGGTTGAATATTTAACATTAATCCAAGTAAAAAGAGTGATTCATTTAATTTAAAAGGTTAGTCCGTGTATTAGTTTTTGCATGTCATGCAGTGAAACAGCAAGTGCTGTTGTTTTTGTGCATGTCATCTACTTTATCAGTCAGTATATCCTCTATATATTTATATGCAGTACTAGACATACAGTATCATGTACCACCCTAAAGCAGCCCCAGGCAGAATAAAAAGTACACTGGAGTACTAAAAAAAAAAAAAAAAAAATCCACATATATTGGTCAGTGCTGTACTTTTTGCTATTAGTCTGCTATGTGACTGTTATGTGGTGTAGGTCATTCTGTTCCCCTGATGATCCAGACTGTAATATGTACAAAATTAAAGTCCACAAAAAGAAAAATTGAAGACTGATGAAACAGCTGAGTTAATGCGCCAACCTCCCCACACACACTTCATCATCCCATCCACTCTGTTTAATCAGAGGGAGTTATTCAAACATGCTCCAGCCTCCGCCAGCAGCCAAATAGTTAAAACTGTCGAGCGCACCATCCAACCGGGTTGTGTCGCTAAGGGGAAGACAGACTACTTGTGGAGAAGCAACAGATCCTCAGCTGGAAAACAACCCCACATCTGGCATGCGAGCTGAGCGTTTCCATTGGGAAGAGCCGCTGAAATATTTCAGTGCACAATTAAATGCGCGACAGGATCATTCTCAGGCGTTTTCGTCTTGTATGGAGAAAAGAAAAGTTATCAGGAACAGTTGTGGATTTTGACGTTGCGACATTTGGATATGAGCTTTCAAAAATGTTTGAGAAGTGATACATATTAGCCTACTTCGGGCTTAATGGGTCATCCTATAGGCGCGTACTACTGTGCGTAATTAGCTTGTGTTCATGGACGGGGAATAAGTGCAGCATCTGGAGGGACCAATTTAAGTCACATTGTGCAGTCTGTTCGACAATAACAATTAAAAAACACACCTAGCATGACCACTTGCGTTTTGTCGCGGCACCAGATTGTGTTTTCTAACAGGTGGTTTTAACTGAGCGTTACTTTGACGCTGTCTGGACTAACCCATTATTTTTTGGAAAATTGAGCCACACACGGACCATTGGAAAAACTGGGGTGTGAAATGACGATGCATTTTGCGTAGTTTTATTTTTATTTTTATTGGAAACAGTTTGTAACGGAGGGGCGAACAGCCAGAAGGTCACTGCTTCTAAATGATAAGCTCGGTGTGTGTTTCCTCTTACCGAGGGCGCAAGTCAGGCAATAAACCTCCGTCTAAATCATGTCTGAAAGAGGAGATGTCCAGAGTGGAAGACTCGGACAAAATTATCATCAACGTGGGCGGTACTCGACATGAAACCTACAAGACCACCCTCAGGACCCTGCCTGGGACCCGCCTGGCATGGCTGGTAGACACGGACACGCAGGTCAGCTCCGACTCAGACGCTGCCAGTGCCACCGAGTTCTTCTTCGACAGACACCCGCTTCGCCTACGTGCTCAACTATTACCGGACCGGCAAGCTGCACTGCCCGGCCGACGTGTGCGGGCCACTTTTCGAGGATGAGCTGGCATTTTGGGGGATTGACGAGACCGACGTGGAGCCGTGCTGCTGGATGACCTACCGACAGCACCGGGACGCAGAGGAGGCCCTGGAGATATTTGAACCGCCGGACCCGGAGGACACCGACGACGACAGAGAGATGCCAAGGCGGTTCGGCATCGAGGACTGTCCCGACAGGTCGAGGGGCTGCTGGGAAGTTTGGCAGCCGAAGATCTGGGCTCTGTTTGACGACCCGTACTCGTCCAAAGCAGCCAAGGTGAGTTCTGCAGGTGCTTTCTCCTCCGAGCACGTTAATTTCTGTGTGTCCGTTTTAGACCTTGAAAGCCTGTAAGTGATCAATTTAGGGAAAATGCGCTTATTTTGCCCCAGTCAACAGGTGTCCTCACGAGGCTCAGCCAGTCAGGCCGCAACAGCTGTAGGTGCATCGTAAGGTCTGCGCATTGTGATGCACCTGAACTATCCGCATCTTTATTTAACACTTTTCAAGTCAAGGCCAAGGTCTTCAACATTTACCTTTCTCACCCTGAATTTTTCTGTACCTGATGGTTTAGTCTGATTTCTAGCCTGTGTGTGTGTGTGTATGTGTGTGTACTTTAGTTGTAAACTTAGTTTCATCTGGTAAGTGCAGAAAGCTTCTTTCAGTCTGTATGGGTAATGCACATTTTTATGCATTTTACATGAATATCTCTTCTGCTCTTGGCAGCACTGATATCCCTGTGATCTCTTGGAGTTTAAAGCAAATTTGGGACTTTTTTCTTTTGTCATTTTAAGTCCAGCTTTGATGTGGTTCTGCTCTCTGGCCACAGATCACATCTTTAAAACATTTAGTTGGCTGTATTTCTAGGAACAATCATAGTGCTGCCTTAACCATAGACTGAAAGTGAACATCCTAAAAAGAGAAGCATTGTCCTCTGTAACATTCTCACTTTATAACAACACTGAAAAGGAAAATCTTACAATCTTTTGTCCAACACACCTATAGGATCATTTGTTTTAGTTGTCTAATACTGTAAAAGCAGAGAATTACTGGTCATCCAACTTCAGAGTGGAAGCACTTGACTAGCTTTCACTGAGCTCTAACATCAACCCAATTTCACTCCTTTGGAATGGACTGGAATGGCAAATGGCTATAGGCCACATTAAGGTCATGGCTGACCTCAATAATGTCTTTGCGGCTGAATGGGAGTTAAACCATACATCATGCGCAGCCATATAGTTTGGGAACAAGATGTTCAGCAATCTCACATAAGTGTAATGTTCAGGTGTAAACACCTTCCATTAAGCCTTGTATCTCGATGACAATGGCTTTATTTTTTCATAATTATCCCACAGACCTCACGTCTGCATGTGTAAAGCTTTAGATTCAGTATTAGGACTAGCTGTTACTGTCCCTGAAGTGTCAGCATTATATATGTCTAAGAATAATAATAATTGTGGCTCATATTACAATGTTTTTCTTCCATCCATCCATCCATTATCTATACCACTTATCCTGAATAGGGTTGCAGGGGGGCTGGAGCCAGTCCCAGCTGACATTGGGTGAGAGGCGGGCTACACCCTGGACAGGTCGCCAGTCTATCACAGAGCTGACACTTGCAGATAGATAACCACACACACCCACACTCACTCGTATAAGGACTCACCGGGTCTTTGGATTTACACAAATTATGCTAGTATATGCAACACAATTCATTCATGTTTCCTCTGTTAATATAAAGAAAATTATGTTGGTTTTACACATTATCATTGTGTGGGACCGATGTACACATTACAATCAAGTAAATCCAACAAATCCTTTTTTTTTCAGTGTATGGGCAATTTAATCTGTATGTCTTTGGACTGTGGGAGGAAGCAGGGGTACCTGGAGAGAACCCACAGAGGAACAGGGAGAACATGCAAACTCCGCATAGATACCAGAACCTTCTTGCTGTGAGGCAACAGCACTAACCACTGCTTCACCATGCGTCTTTGTTAAAATGAGTTTTTTCTTTTCTTCTGACCTTATTAAAACCATGTAGGTAGAAACATATAGCAAATTTAACTGGGCCCAGGCACTAGAAGTGATAGATAACAGATATAACAGCAGTTTGAAAAAAAAATCCATCTATCTATCTGTCTATCTGTCTGTCCATCTATATATATATCCCTTCCTGACCTGCTGCTGATGACCTGGCTCAGGTGTGTTCAGTCAGTCAGAAGCTGGAAGATACCAATTCACTTTATCTTTCCTCACTCCACTTTTATCTAAGATGGTATCTTCCAGCTTCTGACTGACTGAACACACCTGAGCCAGGTAATCAGCAGCAGGTCAGGCAGGGATAGTTGGAAAACAAGCAGGACAGCGGCCCTCGAGGACTGGAATTGCCCACCCCTGAATAGTGATGTAAACAAGGGGGACACAATAATAATGCAGTCTAACACAATAGCACCACCAAAAACTACAAAAATAACTATAAATTTAATGCAGGACTGTTGTATTAAGAATAAATTAGTTTTATCTAGCTGTATTGCAGCTGATAGACTGGTAATTAAGTGTGTATATATTGCTTTTGTTTGCCAAAAAGCCATTCACAGACACAAATCTACAGTGTGCTATCATGCATAGTCACTTATGTTTGAGGTTAGATCGTGGAGTGGTCTAGCTTCAGTGAAGAAGCATATGCAAATCCAAATAGAGCCAATTCTCATATTTGAGACTCTGCAACCAGATTTTAGCATTTGTGTTTGAAGAAGTAACCAAAACACTTATTTGATTACATTGTTTTTCTAGCAGACTTTTACTTCTCCTCAAATTAGGAAAATACCTGCACGGTGCTGATAGAACAATGATGTGTCATGACTTCCTGAAAGGGTCTCTCTAGTCTCGGCCTCTCCAGACGACAATTCAATCTTATTTTTCAGTTCTCAGTTAAATATGTTACAGAATTGTAGCAAAATACTGAAATAGAGAAAATGCTGTTTCATGACAGAACTACAGTGCGGTGGAGTGTTCCCACACATTCTGTTCAAGGTTTGCACTCAAAGGTCCTCAAAATATGAGTGTTTGAAAGGCTGCAGAAGTGTACATCCATGTATAGTAACTCATACCATATATTAAGCAAGGAGAATGGGGTCCATATACACATATAAGCAGGAAAAAATAAGCTAATTGTTATAATGACAACCTCACAAAACATAATTGTAGTTGACCCATTTTAAAATGTTGAGTGAAAGACCACTGCCCCATTTTCTCCTCATTTATTTTAGAGAAAAACAGACATTGCAACATAGCTTATCATAACTCCAAACAAAATGTTTCATTGTCTGAGTTTGCTCTCATTACTTCACAGGGGATATCATCCAACTGTAATCATTTGAAAGTATGCTGTGTAATTGCTCAGCAACAAAAGCAGCAGAGCGCTTAGTGACATAGACGTGAAAGCTTCTATTGCGTGTCACTACAGCAGGAGTGACAGGAAAATGACCAGGAGAAAATTACCTTTAGTTCCGAAAGCGACGGGCTTGCCCTTATTCTAATTTCTGTTTGCGGAGTTTAATGCTCTGTTCAGAGACTGTCTCAGTATGTTCTTACTGGATGCCAGACACAGTATAAATAGTGTTTATTTTAGCTCCTTGTCCAGGTGGCATTTGCAGGCAGTGGATGAGCAGACATCTTGGAGTCACAGCTGTCACTGCGCTGGTGCCATCTGAAAATGACCCACACTGTGCCTGGCAGTTAATCACATCCGTCTATCACCACTGAATATTTGTGAATGAATCAGTTAGGATTTGTGAAATCCTATGCAGTGAATCCTTGTGCTTCTGATAAGAATGAGTGAGGTCTGGTCCAGGACATATTGTTCCTTGTCAATTTCCTCTCCAGCCGATGCATGTGCTGTATGTATGTTAGCTTTGTGTATACTGTGAAAGGATGCAGAGTGCATTTTGAGGGGCTCATGTTACCTTTATGCCCTTTTTATTCCAAAGAGCCTCTGAGCTCTTCTCATGTAATGTGATTCTTCAAAGCTGGAGAGAAGTTAATTTGTCCATCACTAAAGTCACATCCTCTTCAGGATCAACCCAGACTGGAGGTGGAGCTCTTTGAAAGTCTGCACTTGATGGCAGCACTCACAAATCATAGGCATGAGAGGATTATATACAGCTCCCCCAGCGAGTGTTACAGCTTTAATATACTGTGTGGTCAGAGGCCAATAGAACAGTAATGGTTCTGTACTCCACACTGGATATGAAATGAGATACATATGGACAATGCCCTCCCATTCCACTGTAGTGCTGACTTGTGCTTATATCAGAATCATATCAACACACTATGACTCGTAGACCTTTTTAGCCACACTAGTGGCATGACAGTGTCAGCTGGTACATCACCTGGGTCCAGACTGAGGCACTGGATCTCAACAGATTGTCAGATGGATTGACATGTAATTTTGTGTGATCCCCAAAAGATTAATCTTGCTGATGCAAGCGATCCCCTGGCCTTTATTTTACCAAAATCTGCCAATTTCCCCACCATCGTCCTTTTTTGACAATCAGAGCCTTATTCCTTCCTTTTAAATGGAATAATAAGTCTCTGAGGATTAGTCCTCAGGTGCTTTGGCTTTCATATTACAGTGGTGGTTTTTAAATCGTGTTGAAAGAAGAGCTCAGATTGTTTACTTAAGTGAAGGTAGCCATACCACAGTGTAAAACACTCTGTTACAAGTAAAAGTCCTGCATTCAAATTGTTGCTTAAGGAAAAGCACAAAATATTATCATAAAATATACTTAAAGTACCAAAAGTAAAAGTAGTCATTATGTAGAATGGTACAGTTCACATTATTTATTGTTACAGCCCATAAAGGTAGAGCTAATGTTAGATACATTGTATGCTTATACTTTGAAGTACTTTACCCAGTTTAAACAATGGTTTTTCTTTCAGTGTGAATCCAAAGAACAGAGTCAAAACTATGAAAAACATGGACCTGCTTTAGTATTACCATAGAAACCAGGAGGATACTGTACTGTATGAAAAACATGCAGTTAAAAACCATGAACACCCGACAGTGTATTATTCCATTTTAAACACCTGGAGTGCTCCACTGTGCTTTGTAATGTCAGATTTGTTATATGTGACAATTAACATTAAGTTATAACCAGATGACTGTTAACTCACTCTTCCCTGATGCAATATTTCATCAATTCCCAAGCCCTGCTGCCTGTAATTAATCACCGCTGTGCTAATGGCCTGCACCTTGTTATCAGTGGTGAGCAATTAAA